GCACATCTGTCAAATTTCTTATCGGAGATAACATTATACCTTGAACAAGCCGTCATACAGATGGAGTCCAATTAATCTACAATCTGGATCAATTATGCCAATCTACAAAGCCAGTGTCAAATCAGAGGTAAGCTACATGCCCACCAAACCCTTAATGACAACATATATTTTTTGATGAAGGAAAGTAAAAATTTAAGCACTCTGAAATGCATAGTCAAGAAGACGATATTCAATACCTGACCATTGTCTGTTGGTCGGCCTATACGATCAGAAACATCCCCCATTGCTCTGGAAAATATCAAAACATCATATAGAATCAGCTGTAAAGTAGAGAATGGTCATCTGATATATTGCTTCCACTAATAACCAGTAAGATTCAACAATTACGCCAGCACCATACATGATTTTTTCCATGCTTTGGATATACAGCAACGTACAAGTATATGTATCAATTTTGTGAAAAGTGAGAACTTATTATCGAACTCTCATAATAAATGCTCAAACAGATCCCAAGGTAAAATGCTGTAAAATGCTATCTAAAATAGGCAAGTTGGTACCATGCTCTAATCTGTACACAGGTGGCGAGTGTAATGCATTTATTTCTAACAAAAAAAATGACAAGATTACGGCAAGAATGATCATAAATCAAAAGAAAAATAGCACAACTTGTTGGTTAACATCAATTGAATGAATGGAGAAAAGTTATATTTTGGAAATTCTACCTTGTAATAAGCTCAGAGGACTCAGCATCCCATTGAAGAACACAGAATTTGTATCTCTCAGTTGCAATGAACAAAAAGTCTTGCGCTTCGCCCTACAAAAGACGGTAGGCAATACTATCAACATTGTAACTTACTAATAAGACCATGATAGAAAACACGATAAGAATATATACTAACATGGGGCCGGAACAACTCCAGAGTAGCGATTCTTCCATATATAGGAACATCCAGCATAGGCTGCAATATAGGAACATCCAGTAGATTCTTACATTACTAACAAAACAAAGCATGGCAACAAAGTTTTGAACTTTATACTATAAAGTACATGGAACTCAATCCATATAAGCTTGATAGAATAGAGATGTAATGTACCTGAAGTCCCTGTGGGGTAAGCAAATGGATTTCAATTCGAGTACATTTCCTGTGAACAGATCAACACTGCTGTCAAACTAACATTGTAATGGATCTGATATAGTTGATGTTATAACTTTAACGGGACAATGCTAAATCGAATTCAAACAAATTTAAGGAACTGATAGCTAACGATACTTGAAAATCTTCCACATCGAAAAAGGCACGATCTTCAAATTTATTAGTGAACCCTCTTCAACATGTAATTTTAGTTCAGAGTAGTATCCACCAAATCAAAGAACCCAGACACACTAAAATCCTTATACTCATCTCCCAAGTGTGAGAAGTTCTCAATACTCAAACCGCTATCTGACCAAAACTGCAATTGAACTACGATTTTGTTTGCAAAGTGAGCAAATTTATGAAAATTGACTCGTGGTGAGAAATTCACTGAAAACCCTAAACCCAAATCAACAGCTGTAATTCAAAAGGAAACTAATTTGATAAACAAAAATTGATAAGACATAGAGGTAGGGAGAGTTCCATACGCAACAATGAGATTGAGCTCTTGAGGACTTGTGAAGTTGCCAACGCACGAGTGAGTGACACTGGTCGGTTTGTGCGCCGTAACAACGTAGTTCCATGAGCTCATCTTCCTCTTCTTTGTCCCTGAGGAATTTGAGTTTCACTCTCTACGCACGCCTCAAGATGGAAATCTCTAAACGAGCTTTTGAATTTCAACGAAGAAGAAAGAGAGAGAGAGAGAAACAATGAAAAGCCAAAGGAGGCGAAAATCGAACAAGGAAGAAGAAAGACAACCTTCGACAAAGACTGGTCGGTCGGTTTGGTATACAATTGAAATCAGATGTATGGTCCGGTTCGGTATACTATGAGATTAAATATAGTTCTAAAATTCAGATAAACCGAACTCATTGGATTCTAGTTAAATCAAAACAAACTTTGCTTAGAATTTAATTGAAAATACGAACTTAACCAAAAATGAATTAAACTGATAATCCCAATTCGGTTTTCTGTGCACTACTCTTCATAAATAAAAACCAAAAAATCAGATATCGAATTGAACCAAACTAAAAATGACGGTCCGGTTCGGTACACCCATAGACCGGTTATACAAATTGTAATTAAAGGCCCAAGTTTCTGCTTCTTGAAAAGAACGAAAGATTAATGGGCTCATCATAGACTAGCCAACTGATGGGCCGGGTTATTCCGGGTAAATCCGGGTCGACCCGTTTCCGAAGAAAACCTAGTGGAAGATTTTAGAGTAACTTTCCGACCAAATATACAAAAATCCGTTTTTCAGCTTCTTCCGTCGCCACTAAACCCTGAGGCTAAACCTAGACGAGTCAAAGTGCAATAAACGTTAAACCCTAAGAAGAGAGAGAGAGAGAGAAGAATGAAGTACAACAGCGAGAAGAAGAAAAGTGGAGGCTCTAAGAGAGGAGGTAAAAAGGGTTCGAATGAAAGGGATCCATTTTTTGAGGAAGAGCCGAAGAAACGGAGAAAAGTCAGTTACGATGACGACGATATCGAGTCTATAGACTCTGATGCGGAAGAGAATGGATTTACTGGCGGAGACGAAGATGGGAGAAGAGTTGATGTGGAAGTGGTGGAGGAGGATGAGTTTGCTGATGAGACGGTGGGAGAGAAGAAGAAGAGATTGACGGAGGATATGCTGAATAGACTGAGGGAAGCTAAGCGGAGAGAGCGTGAGGAAGCGGGTGATGATGATGATGATGAAGACGATGATGAGAGTATTAAGAAGATTTTGATGCAGAAGCAGCAAGAGGAGAGTGGTAGGATTCGAAGAGTTATTGCATCCAGGTAATGAAGAAATTTGGTACCTTAATGTATTTGTTGGTAAATTAGGGTTTATGGGTAGTTAGTGTTTTAGGGAAATGGTTTAATTGTGAAGAAAATTAGTGATTTTGTACATTTATTAGGTCAATTTGATCTGTTTAAAGATTGGTTAATAGTAGTATTGATTAAAACTTTTTAATGATTCAGGGTTCAGGAGCCACTAAGTACTGATGGGTTTAGTATTATTGTCAAGCACCGACGATCTGTTGTATCGGTAGCTTTATCGGATGATGATTCTAGAGGATTTTCAGCTTCAAAAGATGGTACTGTTATGCATTGGGATGTATCTTCTGGTAAAAGTGACAAATACATATGGCCAAGTGATGAAATTCTGAAGTCTCATGGGATGAAAATGAGGGAGCCTCGAAATAAAAAACACAGCAGAGAATCTCTTGCTTTAGCTGTTAGCTCCGATGGTCGTTATTTGGCCACTGGAGGAGTTGATCGTCATGTTCATATTTGGGATGTTCGTACCCGAGAGCATGTCCAGGTAATGATAAATTTGGTTTTTGTTTAGTGTTTTTCTATTTGTTTTCATCATGTCTTGTGCTCAGCTTTTATAATTATGTGTCTACAGGCCTTTCCAGGTCACAGGAACACCGTTTCTTGTCTATGTTTCAGATACGGAACTTCAGAAGTCTATTCTGGTTCATTTGATAGAAATGTGAAGGTGTGGAATGTAGAAGATAAAGCGTTTGTAAGTGATAATTTTGGACACCAGGGTGAAGTTCTAGCCATTGATGTGCTGCGGAAGGAGCGTGCACTTACGGTTGGAAGAGATAGAACCATGCTGTATCATAAGGTAATAGTTCTGTCCTCCATGTAAACACCATGCTGTATCATAAGGTTTATATTATTATTCTGTATATCTAAGTTTTGTTATATGATAATAGGTACCTGAGACTAGCCGTATGGTCTATCGTGCTCCTGCATCATCTCTTGAGAGCTGCTGTTTCATCAGTGATAATGAGTACCTGTCTGGTTCGGATAATGGAACTGTTGCTCTTTGGGGCATGTTAAAAAAGAAACCGGTGTTCATTGTCAAGAATGCTCATCGCGATAAAACTGATGGAATTACCACCAATGGAATCTTAGGTAAAACCTCATTAGATCCCCTCCATCTCATCTCTGTTGCAATCGAATCTTGACATTGCAGTATATAGTAGTTACAAAACACTTTGTTTCGTTGATGCTCTGAAATATCTAACTCTTATTTATTTGTTTAACAGAAAATGGTGATCATGAACCAGTCAACAATGACTGTTCTGCAAGTTATTGGGTCAATTCAGTTGCTACTTGTAGAGGTAGTGATCTTGCTGCATCTGGAGCTGGTAATGGTTTTGTGCATTTGTGGGCTGTTGAAACTAATGCCATTCGAAAGTTGTACGAGCTTCCACTGGTAAATTTTCTTTCACTAGTTATGTTCGTTAGTGTTGTCTGATGAATTTGTTGTGACTGTGATTAAAGCATTTCACTTAATCAAGTAATAATCCTTGCAATGCCTTGTATGATCTTACAGACTGGATTTGTCAACTCTTTGGCTTTTGCAAAATCGGGTAAATTTCTGATTGCCGGTGTTGGACAGGTATGTGATCCTCCTCTCTTATGTTCTAGCTTCTTTTTTTCTATCTTTGTCCTCTTGTGTGAATGCTAATCTCAAAACTTATTGTGTTTTGTGAAATCGATATGGCAGGAAACACGATTTGGAAGATGGGGCAGCTCAAAATCTGCTGAAAATGGCGTCGCAATACACCCCTTAAGGCTGGCATAAGTATTTCATTGGGATTAAAGAAGCGTTGTTACTGATATTTTTGAGTTGCTAAAATGCCAAAGATAAAATCTTGTCATATAGGGATTACATGTCTTTGTAGCTCTTGAAGTTTTTGCTCCCTTTTTTGTTTGTTCTTTGTACCATTTTTTTCTTAATACGAGAGATAAGAACTTAACTTTTTGAGGCTCTGAAGAATCATAGAGGACAGAAGTTCCCAAATTTTCATTCTCTCGGTTAAGCTTTTTGTTTCATTTTTTCCCCCAAATGTTGCAGATAAGTAAATGAAAAGGCATATTATTACTAAACCAAGGTCCATTGTGACACAGACTTGATCACTTGTCCAAAAAAGAAAATTGCTTTTCCAAAAAAAAAGAGGCAATAGCCTACATGAATGAATTCTCTTAAGTCAAGCTTGGAAACCCTAGAGACAATTTCTTGAAGTTTCTGTCTATGGCATTTCTCTCTGTCTCGTTGCTGCTTCATTCTGACTAAAGCTTCAACTGGATAAGAAAAACCAGTACAGAATTGATTAGAAAGTTCTGAACAAATATCCAAACATAAATAGAATACCACAGAGTGAAGACTTGACACAAGAAAAATGCAAACAGCATTTTGAAAGAATAACTAAACAAGAACATATCCAGCAAAAAAAAATGATACATAATAATCTAAAGACTCGAGCCTATATGCAGAGAAGTACCAGAGGAAGATCATGCTTCCAAAAGTTTCCATATTAACTTTGCAAACACTAACTTATACACAAGTGCGTGATTCTCATACATCTATATGCTATATGCCTATAACTCGATCTCAAATCAATTATCATACTACTTGAAATCTAGCTAACCATCAGTTTTGAGCTATGTTCTACAACAAAGTAAACTCCACACAACAGCTTTGACATCAGAAATCGATACTACTAACCATCAATCCTAAATCCTGAATCATTCCATTGTTCGGAAAACAAACTGTCAAATCTCATCTCCAAAGCAAAAACAAGAGAAAACGATAATCATAAGACAAAAATCTAACCTTTAGTGAATCATCTCAACTTCTCTTTATTTCATACACTTTCTACAACAAAGTAAACCCAAGAATCAGTAAACTACTAACCATCATTCCATTTTTCGCAACATAATCAGTCAAAGCTCATCTCCAAAGCAAAAGCAAGAGAAAAAACAATAGCCTAAGAAAAAATCTCTAACCTTTAAACGAAATCATCTCAACTTCTCTTTACTTGAACTCTTCTTAGCTGCATCCATAACCTTCTCAAGATACCCTTCAATAGGCGGTGTAAGAGTAGCCATACCTCGATTCGCCGGAAACGGAGTCAAATCAGGCTCTAATGCCGCTTTCTTCAGATTCTCCGGCAATGCCTCAATCGCAGCTTTCTTCAAATTCAAAAGCGCAGTTTCAGCTGCACGACGCTCTCTATGCTCTCTCATCAACACTTTACTATACTCCTTCGCAAGCCTCTCTCCATCTTCTTCCGTCAGCTTGTACTTCGGTAACTCCTCAGCTTCAAAAATCCCTAACGAAATGTAATCCAAACCCGGCGTACCAATTCGCATCGGCTCATCGGTGATTCCCATTGAAGCAGCTCCTCCTTTCTTCTGGATCTCCATATCTCGTTGCTTCTCTTTACTAATCAACCCTAGCTTCTCACGTTGCGCCTCTCGCTCGATCTCATTAGGTGTCAAGTAACGAACAGGACAAGGAGCGTTTAAGCATTGCTCGTAGAGTTTCTGCTTTTCATCGGAAATTCTTCCTTTTCCTTTAACTGCTTCCTCTCCATCTCCAACTGCTCCGCCGCCGCCGCCACCACCACCTTTCTTGGTGGAGACTTTGTTACGCTTCAATGGCTGACCTGTCTTTAGCTTTGCCTTTCCTTTAGGAGTTCCGCTTGCGGAGCATCTCTGGAGAAGGTGGTAACTCAGTGATTCGATAATCGGTTTTGGTCTCGTAACTCGAATCATGCTTCTGATTCACCTGAGTATCTGATTTCTGATTTTTCGTCTGAAAATGGTGTTTGAGTACGGAGATTTAGGGTTTTCGACTCTCGACTGTGGAAGAAGAACACTAAAGCAACGACGTCGTTTTACCTCATAGTACAACGACGTAGTTTTTAAGGAAGGATTAAAATTTCAGTTTAAACCGAGGGTTATTTGTGTCATAAAGTGAACTCCAATTTGGTTTCTTGGTTCGGTTTTCCATTTCTTGTATACCAAATTAGAACCGACGTTGATTTTGCATTGATTTGGTTCAATTCGATTTAATTTTTGGTTTTTTTTTTTTCTGAAAACAATTCGGTTTACTTTTCCAGAACTAAAGTTAACAAGAAATTTGATGCAACTTGTTAAAGTTTCAAACTTTTGACAAGCAACGACGTGAATACCAAATACGAGTTAATTACAAAGAATTTGGGGTAAAGTAAAAAAGCTAGATCCAACACGCAAGTAGAGAAACAGAACCCAGTTTTCTCCTCAATAAAATAATACAAAAAGCAGCAAATTGTCCACTAAGATCACTCGAGGAGCCAAAAAAAAAGTTAGAGAAATTTGCAGTCAGTATGGGCTGCTCTGTTGTTGTCTCTTCTGGGCCTTCAAAGGATCTTCTTCTTCACACTTTTTTACTATAAACCCAGAATCATCCTCTGTTTCTTTTGTTCCTCTATCATTTTTTTTCTCAATTATTATTATTCTTCTGGAGAAATATCGTCTCTTTTCTCCATTGCCATGGCTCTCTCAACTCCTCTTTCTCAGGTTTTCGGTTTTTGCTATTAAAAACCTTTTTGTTTCCTGAGATTAAGTTTCGGATTTGATGAAAGTTTGGTTTTTGATTCCAGATGTCTATTGCACTTCCAACTGGAATTGATGGGTCGAGCCGATCTATGATTAAGGTGAACAAAAAACGATCTAGATTACTCAATTACCGATCTTTGTTGTTTCATATGCTTAGATGGTCCTGAAAGTGTTTGTCTTTGGCCTTTTCTTTGTGGGTTAGTTCTGATGTAGACTTGTAGTGAATTTGATATTGAAAGGTACAGTCTTTAGAAGTAGAAGCTTACAAAAAGTGGATTTTGTATCTATTGAGCAATGAAATTTTAACGTTGACCTTATGATTCTGTCTCAGGTGCAGAGTATAAGTTTCACTGAGAAGTCATGGAGTCCTCTGCTGAGACTAGATTCAAAATCTAGAAGCTTAAGTGTGAATAAACGGTCCACAATATGTATGTCACTTCAGCAAGCAAGCAGATCCAAAGTAGCGGTTACTCCTCTAGAACTTGAATATCCCAAAGAGACTCCGTTAAACTTGTACAGGCCTAAGGAGCCTTATACGGCAACAATTGTTTCGGTTGAGAGAATTGTTGGTCCACAAGCACCTGGAGAGACTTGCCATATTGTAATTGATCATGATGGTAATGTTCCTTACTGGGAAGGACAAAGCTATGGAGTGATTCCTCCTGTAAGTGGTTTCAACTCTGTTGCTCATAACGCATTGCCTTTTGCTGATAAATGATTTAGTCTCTCGATTTGGTAATATGTCTGGTTCCATGTGTTCTATTCTTTATTGGTAGGGCGAGAATCCTAAGAAACCTGGTGCTCCTCATAATGTTCGCCTTTATTCGATTGCATCAACACGGTATGGAGATTCTTTCGATGGCAAAACAGCTAGTCTATGTGTCCGTCGAGCTATTTACTATGATCCAGAGACAGGAAAAGAAGATCCTTCCTGGTGTATGCAGTAACTTTTTGTGCAATGCCAAACCCGGCGATAAAGTTAAAATCACCGGTAAGTTTATCTGTTTTTCAGATATGGATCCCCTTTTTTGTTGAATTTGTCTGGTCTAAAATTTTCGATATTGTTGACAGGTCCATCTGGAAAGGTTATGCTTTTACCTGAAGATGACCCAAAAGCTACTCACATAATGATTGCTACTGGAACCGGAGTTGCTCCATACAGAGGATACCTACGGCGTATGTTTATGGAGAACGTTCCAAATTTCAAGTTTGATGGACTCGCGTGGCTCTTCCTCGGTGTGGCTAACTCAGACAGTCTTCTCTATGATGAAGAATTTACCGGTTACCTCAAGGACTATCCAGAGAATTTCAAGTACGACAAAGCGCTGAGCAGAGAAGAGAAGAACAAGAAAGGAGGGAAAATGTATGTGCAGGACAAGATTGAAGAATACAGCGATGAGATCTTCAAACTTCTGGACAATGGAGCTCATATTTACTTTTGCGGGCTTAAAGGAATGATGCCCGGGATTCAAGACACTCTTAAGAGGGTCGCTGAAGAGCGAGGCGAAAGCTGGGAGCAGAAACTTACTCAGCTCAGGAAGAACAAGCAGTGGCATGTTGAAGTGTATTGAGTTAAGTCTTTCCGTATTTTCGACATTTCTGCAACTGAATAATCGTGTCAATGAATGGACACAGGGTAACTTAACTACAACACTGCAACAGACGGAACAATTAAGAAAGTCAATCATTAGACATGAATCATTATATCATTCCTCTAATTTTGACTATTGTCAAGAAACAAAGTAAGCTAAAATTTGAGTCTACTAATTTTCTTTTGTCCCCTTCTTTTGTTTCCTTTCTGGCCTGATTTTACCAGTGGCAGGCACTCTTTTTCCCGTTCCTACTGGGCTTGCCTCCTCCGCGCTTCCTAGCATCACTCTTCATCCTCCTATCCACTCTCTTCTGACCTTTCCCAACCTTAACCCCAACTCCTTTCTTAGACACAACCAGTTCTTTCTTAGGCTTCCTTGGCTCTGCTGCTTTCTTGTATAGCTTATCTATCATCTTGTCCTTTGAACGGTTTGATATATCCGCTGTGTCAGATATTGTGTTTGCCTTCTTCCTCACTTTCTCCAATCTTTTCATAGCAGCTCGCTTCTTCCGTGCCTTGGCCTCAGCCACTTTCTTGGCTGGACGAGCGTTGATTTCTTTGAACTGAGCTTTCATTGCATTAACTTCTTCTTTTGTCACGGGTTTCATCGGCTGTCTGTGCTGCTTTTCGTCATCCAAAAACCACTTGGGTAAACCTTCGTCCTCAAACATATATTTGTTATAAGCATCACCATCAAGCATCTCTTCTCTCTGCTTCTTCCTTAGCATTTTCTTGGCACAGGCCAATATCTCGGCCTTCGCATGAACGTCATCATCAGAGGATGAGTCTGAGTCTGAACCCAAGGCTGGGGCAGGGACTATATCGAAATCGTCTTCCTTGTTAGAGCTGTTGGGAAAGCTCTGGTCAAACAACACGCTTGCCTTCTGCTTTGACTTGTAAGGTTTAGAAAGATTTTTGCTCTGTTTCTTAGTTGACATTTCGTCTTCACTGTGATCATCTTTTCCCAAGTCTCCGTCTTCGGTGGCTTCTGCAAATATATCCCGACTGAACCACTGGTTGGATATTTCCTCCTTTGTTTGGGCCTCTCCATCATCAAGTGGTACCACAAGAGGGTTTGCCTCATCATTCTCTTCATTCATATCCGAATCATAATCGAGTTTCATTGCTACATCTCCATCACCATCCTGCAAAGCCAATGCAAAAAATGTCTAGTTCCAAAAATCTCTAGTATCCAAAGTAAATGGGGGTAAGCAATGCTAGTACCTCCAGCTTCTCAGCGTGTGCATGCCTAGCCCGCTTCCTTTGCTTTGCGCTTCCTTCTTTCTTCACCATATACCGGTCATATGCCTCATCAAAAATCTCTTCCATTTGTTCATTGTATCTGTAATGTTTAAAAGACTATAAGATGAAAAAACTGCACAAACTTGAGCAATGTATGACATTCTTGAAACAAGCAGCCTGACCTTTGACGTTCTTCATCAGAATCTATGACACTGTCTTTGGAATCATCTGAAGCTCCCTCTTCGTTCTCACTGTCATCGACGTTGCCATTGTCATTATCATCTTCATCATTGTCAACTGTCATTAGGTCTTTCTTTCCCTTCATAACAGAAAGAGAAAACAATTCATGGTCTACATAACCATCTTCAAGTGCACCTATCTGTGGACCAATTGCCTTCCGCGTCATATCCTTAGCCCGTCGTTTAGCAAGAAGCTTCTTTGCCCGTTTATTCTTGCGGTCCGCTGTGTTTGTCAGCTCTTCCAATTCATTGAGTAGTTTATCATCCTCATTTTCCTCATCTTCCTTTCCCACATCAAGCTCCTTTTTAGTTCCTTCCTTTTTTTCAGGAGACAGAGCTTTCCTGATTTGCATTCTCCATCTACAAGGCAAAGAGAGTTCAATGTTTGTTACGCTTATAAATAAACAAGTGAGACTTTAATGACAGACACAGTTCTTACTTTAGGATATGCTTAAAGTCATTCTTCCCCAAAACAGGAAGATCGTCGCATAGTGTTTTAACCTCCTCTGTAGTCAAATTGTGTTCCTTTAAAGGTAGAGAAGCTTGATCATCAAAAGATATACAAGTAACTGTGCCAAGAATCTCAAGAGGATTTTCAGACCAAATGAAATCAGCAGCAGATGCAACTTTTCTCAAAATGGACTCTCCATCTTCATACCCATCACGGTTTCTCTTCTGTTTTGATCCTCCAAGCACATCCTTCACCTACAAACACAAAAACTTGAGGGTAAATGGGAGAGTTCCAGAAAACACACTCAAAAACACCATAAGACATAGTGATCTACCTACCTTTTTTGTAGGTTCTGCTACCACCTTAAATAGTTGTCTATAATCAAGAAGATTGGGATTAATCTTGTCAGGAGCTTTGTAATTCAAACCCAAAAGATATGTTTCTGCAGATGTTGAACGACTAGCCATCGGTTTAAACACTTCAACATTTTCAAACAGCTGCAACCAAAAAAAACTACCAGTAAGAAGAAGAACCGGGTAACACTTATCCGCAGAGTAATAAGAAAACAGGACGTACCTCTCCAAGACAGTAGACCACAGAGTCATAATCTCGTGACCTGAAAATCTATGAGCAGAGGAAACTTTTATGTCAAAACACATCACTCGATGACAGTAATCATCTTTGAGAAGCATACCTTGGTGATGAAGTTTCCATGAGGAGCTAAGAACTCTGTGGCCAGTTTCAAGGAATCAATAACCAAAGCGTTTTGGCTCATAGCTTCTTGCGACCATGCACCACCAACATTTGGAGACCCATCGTGTAGAACTAGATCGAAAGTTTTATCAGTACCATGCTTCTTCAGGGCTTTCTTGATCTTCGCCTTGCACTCGGTAGTTCGCGTGATATCCTGCTGGATAGTGACACAGCCACGCACGGGGGCAATCTTAACAAGATCGATACCGAGAACGAGGCTGCCGACGGGAACTTTCTGGACGGCGACTTGCATCCAACCACCGGGTGCAGCGCAAAGATCTAGAACGGTTCTTGAAGAATGGAGAAAATTGAACTTGGCGTCAAGCTGGAGAAGCTTGTAAGAAGCTCGAGAACGGAGTCCACTCTCCTTAGCGAGACGATAGTACGTATCCAAACGATGCTTTCCTTTGACCTTTCCCATGGTGAGATAATGAGATTTTTTTCTAGGGTTTCGTTCTGGCTCTAACACACAGAGTGAGATAGAATATTTAGCTAGCTAGGGTTTTAAGATTTACTAGGCAAGTTTTTTTTTTTTTTTCCTTTTTGGCTTTTTTTTTTATAAAGGTGTTTTCAATTATGACTAAGTCATTCAGAGTCTTTGCATAATTTGAAAGAGTATAAGATATAGTGAGATACTCAAATTTTTGAATCTTAATTTAGATCAAAATATGAACTCAAGATTTTCTGAAACCAAGCTTGCGGATTACATCGATGAAGAGTTACTTAATTACTAAACGATAAGTCCCAAATATGAAAGTGAGTCAAAGAGCTACATAATTTCTATAAGTACTAGATTACTTCGATGGATGATGGATCCATGAGTACCCTTCTAAATCCCAAATGAAATTGAGACAACTAGCTACAAGTTATTTACTGCATAATTAGAGGTAAACTACTTCCATGGTTCCTTGAAGCTTCATGCCTCTGCTTCTTTAGTTTCAGTATCAACACTCTCTTTAGTCAACTTCTTAGTTTCAAGAAACTCAACAAGACCCTTAAGCGTAACATCTGGATTCTTGCTTACCATAAGCTGCTCTGTGATCTCAGCTGGAGTTGTTTTCACCTCAAGTAACATCTTCTCAATAGGCTCAAACATGTCATGTTCTTCGATTTCAAGGTACAATGCAGCGAGTTTCTTGAAAACAGTAGGTGTACAATAATCCATGAGTATGTGAACATCCATTCTTCCTGGTCTCAGCAATGCCGGATCGAGTTTCTCCTTATGGTTCGTAGTGAATACTATGATCCGTTCTTCGACACAGCTTGACCATAACTCGTCTACAAAGTTTAGTAGACCAGACAAAGTTACCTACAAAACAAAAAAAAAAAAAACAAGAATCACACTACAAAAAAAGATTACATTGATAGCACTTAAGCATAGCACGATTTTCGATTTTGCTATGAAAAAGACTACGTCGGATTGGAATACTTTATTATAGCATTTTATAAATGCTATGCCGAAATTTTTTTTTTGGTTTCACGCCTATCTTTTAAGTGCCCGCTTAAGTGAAAAACAAGCGGTTCATTTTCCCTCTTAACACTTAGGGAAAAAATCCTCTATCTCTTCTATTCTCCAAGTCTCCATCTCCAAACCCTAATTTCAATTCACCTTATTGGCTGCAGAGCTTTCTGGATTCACAAGCTCAGCTTCAGGAATTGCATTGGAGCGAGAAGATCGGATTCTCGTCGGATTGAATTCCACCACTGGAAGCGGAATCTTCGAATATCCGATGAGATTCGCGTCTTCTTTCTCAGATCGTTGAAGAAACAGTTTCTTGCGTCTAGGCTCGTCGGCTTCCTTCGATTCCGGCGATGGACGTTTCACGGGGCTGGTGGTTGAGGTGGTTGAAGAGGAGCTGAAAGATCCGAAGTTGAAGATGGTGCCAGATACTTCGTCGACGACTTCAATCTCTCTCTCTCTCGACCGCCGCTTTATCCCTCTCAGTCTCCCTCTCTCTTTTTCCCCCTTTCCTTCGATTTTGTCATAAACCCTAATTTTACTTCTTTATTTCGTCTTGTTTTTGCTACAGGTTATCCTAAGAGATTTAAATCGAGAAGGGAAAAAATCTCTGAGCTTCTTTTCTCTTGTAGAGTGAATCGATGCATCAGATGCGACCATCTCGAGCTTACGATTCCTGGGGACGACGAAGAGGGAGAGGCTAATTTGGGATGTGGAGTCGCCGGTGATGATGGTGTTACGAGGGTTGATGTTGATGAAGATTATGAAGAAGCTGGTGGTAGTAAAGAGAGCAAAGCTAATAGATTATAGATGAGGTTTTTGATCTAAAATCGCAATCAAAAATCTTTGTTGATTCCATTGATGTGAAGCTTGATTCTGATTGTTCCTTGTTCTTGTGTTTGCAGCCAATCTCGGTGTTGCTCGAATCCTTGAGAAAGCTTCAATTGATGTCTTTGAATTTGGATATTCTTAAGGTCGGTCTCTAGTGGATTAGTGTATGAAGTTTGTTGTTGTTGATCTTAAGGTTTTGAGATTCTTCTTTCAGAGTACTGAAATCGGAAAGGCTGTTAATGGTTTGAGGAAACATGGGTTTTGATAAGATTCGCCAACTCGCAAAGACTATTATCCTGTATGAGTTTTATCTTTCGTTAAAGAACACGAAATTTGGCAATTTCTTTACTCTTTTAAATGTGCCATTAAGGTTTTCATGTGTATATGCAGTGAATGGAAGGAGTTGGTAGCAGAAACTCAAAGCTTTTGATGCAGACGCAAGAAGTGATGAAAAGCTCCAGGACCTTAACAAGAAGTGAGTGTGGGAATCAAAGAGTTTTAGTCGTATTCTTGAGCAGGGAAGTAACGGTTTTAATCCTTCTTTGTTCATGGCAGAAACTTAAAGCTCTTGATGCAGACTCAAAGTTCCAGTTTGCTAAGAGGAAACTTCAAGCGAGCTACCAACAACATGAGAACGGTTTGTTCCTTTACCTCTTGTAATTTTTGACTGTGAACATTTGTGTTTGCAGGTAGATTCAGGCTGGGACATTGATGAATAACTATGCACATATATTTGATGCAAAACCTCTAATATAGGTTTGCCTCAGCAGGACCTCTAAAAGGAATTCTCAGGTATACAGATGAAGATGTTGTATCTCTTCTTTTTCTTCAAAGTGATATGAATATCCTGAGTTTTGGCTTTGTGGTTGATTTCGATTTTGTTGTAATAGGTCAAGTATGTTTGATGCCAATGATGGGATTCATTGAGCAAGTCCTTTGGCCAATATTTTGTTACTGTGATGAAATGACAAATCACGAGCTGATGATGGCGGGGAACCACGATATCTCGTTTAGGCAGGAGCAATATATGGAAGCTCGACAGAATTATGAGCATTTTAATTTTATTTCCATTTTTTTTGTAAAACTTTGATCTAAATCTTTTGTTGGTTTGTAATGTTAACAATTATATAAACATATTTTGTTTAAGTTTAATTGTCTTTTCATTTTAATATTTTCCGAAAAAATAGCGTAAAAAAACAAAATTGACCAAAATATATAATATAAAAGGATTATTATATTTAATATATACCTAACTAATAACAACAAATAAATGCTATTAAAGGTAGTAATGGCATTCGATTATTGCTATGAAACAATAAATAAAGACATTAAAAAAGTGCTATTGTAGATGAACATACTATAGCAGACAAAATTAATGCTATTGTAGGTGGGGTATCTACCATAGCTGCCGCAATCATAGCAGTTGTTATTTCGCTATGTATTACCTATGATATCATTTTTTCCGCGCTAAGAATGTAAGTTTTTCTTGTAGTGTCAGAACACCAAAATCAGAAGATATTTTGCGAAAATTAAATTAGTGAAGCTTTTATATACTGATAAACCTTAGGATCATTCTTCTTCTTCTTCTTGTTCTGTTTCTCGCCATATTCTGTTTCATCTTTGTTTTCGTTTCTACAAGTAGCATCTGCTCCACTGCAATCAAGATCTTCGATGAGAAGAATGGAGCGGTTCTCGGTCAAAGTGAGAATCTGTCTAAACAATGCATCATCTTTAACGCTCTGAATCTGAAGATCATAGATACTATAATTCATGTGATTAGCAATGGCAGCAACAAGCGATGTTTTTCCGGTTCCAGGAGGACCGTAAAGAAGATAACCGCGTTTCCAAGCTCTTCCTACGGTTTTGAAGAAGTCTTTTCCATTGGAGAAAGCGTCTAGGTCACGGATCAATGTGTTCTTGAGCTCAGGTTCCATTGCTAAGGTTTCAAATGTGGTGTGACGTTGGAAGATTGCTGATTCCCATCTCTGACAATCTGGATTGTAATTGTAGATATTGAGATTTTCATTATGTGTCAATATCTTCACAGATGATTTTGCAATGTATGTGAAGTAATCTGACATGATCTTGTCCCTAAACTCATTCTTACACGTCAAATGAAAGTACCTGAAAATGCAAAATTAACATTGGAAAATTACTAAATAATGTCAGAAACAAGAATTACACAAAACAAAGCATAGAAATTAGAAAACGTAACTAGACTCAGATCAGAAGAGTAACTGGAAGAAAAAAAAATCCCCAAAATAATGTAGAAAGAAAAAAAAAACCCCAAAATAATGTAGAAAGAAAAAAAAAAACCTAAAAATTAGGTTTTTGTTTTTTCAACATCCTCAAATTTAACGTCAAAAAATACAAATTAGACTTAGAAGAGTGATTACAAGAAGAGAAAAAACCCCAAATTTTAGGGTTAGAACTGATCAGATTAGTAGAGTGAGTGAAAAAAAAAACCAAATTTTAGGGTTTTATGTTGACAAGTTACCCTTTTTGTTTCTTCTAGTAATGGATCTCGTAAAAATCCCCAATTTTAGGGCTACATGTATACATGTAGAGAAAAGTTACCGTTTTTTTTTTTACTCTGGTAAGGATTATCATTATCTTTTGCAGAGAGAAGAGTCCATTCAAGATGAATCCCTTCGAATTCATCGATTATTTTGGCTTTGACTGGGATTCCAAATTTGGGTTTAGCAAACGGATTCTTGAGGTCGTTCGAACTGACCAGGAGACTTCTGGTGGAGATTCTGGGGAGAAGAGTCGGCAAGTAAACTTGAGCTGCACGGAAAGTCTGATTCATAACGTAATCGCTCTGTTCCTCGATGATGAACGTGAAATTGGAGTTGAAATAAGAAGAAAAGTAGTCTGTGAATTTGGAGATGATAAAGTCACGGATTTGGTCGGGAATGATCTCATGGAGAATGGTTTTTAAGAGGATCGTGAAGGCAGAGAGAGATGTGTAAACAGAGAAAATTGCAGAGAGTGAAGGAATTTTTGTGAAGAAACTAGACGCCATTGTTATCAGGTTGTGAAATGAAGATGATGGATGATGATTAAGCAAGTGAGTGGGTGTCTTAAAGAGAAGAGAAAAATTGGGGAGCAAGTTTTCGAGTTACTATTCTAGAAAAGTTCGTGCTTTCCTCTTACGGAAAGAGATATCTTTTTGGTAAACCTTACGGAAAGAGATATTAAGAGCATCTCCAATGGTGAGAACCCTCCATAGGTTCTCACCATTTTTTTAAGATTAAAATTTTTAAATTTATGAGATGAGAGCTTTTGTTAATTTTGCAAAGTCCAATGGTAGGCTCTCTTTGTGGGGTTCTCAGGAAAAAGTTAAATTAATTTTTTAATTATTTTATTTCATAAATCTGAAAAATATTACAATTCATAACATATTAAAGATACAATAATTTCATACATTTAAAAATAAATTTGAAAAAAAAAACGATTAGTTATTCTGTTGATTGTTGCGAAATTTTCTCCATATATGGTCAACCAAATCACTTTTCAATTGTCGATGCATATTTTGATCACGAAGTTGATTTCGCATGCCCATCATATTCTCGAGATTTGTAGGAATTCTGAAACATCAAACTGAGTGTTGTACCCATCTCGTTCGTCTTCGACTATCATATTGTGCAGTATAATACATGCTTTCGTAATATTTCCAATTTTTTCCTTATCCCAAACATCAAACGGAAGATCCTTTTTTTTTTTTTTTAACTAAAATATATATTCATTAAAACCCCAAAAATTGCATATGGGCCTAAGCCTTACATCCCGAAGGCCCAGTTACAAAATAGAAGAACGGAAAAGTAAATCAGAAACGGCGAAGGAGCTCAGAACCTGTTGAGCATCGGAAGCAGAATGGCCAAGCCTCAAATCCGGCGGTTTCAAAGTCCACAACATCGCGACAACTCGAAGGATCAAAACCAACACCGGAAGACCTACGAGTCACCAAACCAGCCACAAACTAGCCACTCCGACAGCCGGTTCTACGATGTTAGATCCCAACCTAGCAATCTAACATACCCGGATCTATCCCCTCTTCCCCATATCCGAGACTCTCCGATCTCCTCGAGCTTGAAACCTTCAATCCGGACGTGTGGAAGCAAACCACGGCGATTCCAAGGGACGGATGATACGCGTTTTTTTTTTTTTTTTGATAAAAAATATCGACAGCTGAGAGAAGGCCACGTCGTCGGCTCTCATGGTACTCAAGATTTCTCTCAAGAGAGACAGCTCTCTTCTTAATTCACAGTTTTGATTTATTTTTCAAAAAAAAATTCAAGAGAACCTACAAAGAGAACATGATAATGCATCCATTGGAGATGCTCTAAGAAACGAATTTTCATTTTTATTTTTCATAAACGTTTCTTATTATAGTCCGTGGAAGCCAATTTCAATGAAACCGAGACAAAAAAAATAATACTCCCTCCGTTTCATAGTTTTAAGGTTTTATTTTTGTTTCACAAAAAGTGTCGTTTTAGGTTTTCAATGCAAAATTTAATGATTTCTTATGTTTTATGACTATTAGTATTCTGCAGATTGTTTTACTATTGGGCAGATTATGTTTAGGTATATAGTTAATGATGTTTTTGTTTAGAAAAAACAAAAAATTTAATGTTTTCTTAATCTGTGTGCAAAATTCTAAAATGACACTCTTTGTGAAACAGAGGGAGTAATAATAATAATTATAAAGAGTGTCGTTTTAAGGTTTTAATTTTGTTTCATAAAGAGTGTCGTTTTGTGTTTTTAATGCAGCTTTTAAAGCCAATTCTCTTTTTTATCCCTACTATTTCAGTTTATTAATTAGAGAAAGGGTATTATCTAGTGTATAAATAAAAGGTGGAAATGAAATTTATTTATTTTTCTTAATTTGTGTGAAAAATCGTAGAATAACACTCTTTATGACTCAAACCGGTGCATGTCTTGCATCCTCTGGCAAGTCAATTTGTGGAATAGTAAGAGCCTTCTCTAACCAAGTACGAAGGAGCTTATAATCACGGTGCAGAAAATCGGTTTTAATTTCTTTGAATATATTTTCACTACCCCAAATTTAACGTCACCTAACATTCTGGCTGACATTGGTATCTTATCAGGATCCATTATAACATCTGCAAAGACAAATTACATAAGCAACAATCCTGCATATGATCAAAAATGTCAAACTTTAACAAAAAGAGCATATACTAAAGCAAAATGATGAGAAATTAAACCAGTAGAATTGTTATTGTCACTTTTATATATGATTTGACTTGATAGAGAAATGCGTACTTGATTAAAAAAAAAAAAAAAAAAGCTTTTTTAGAATTTTTAAATTAGTTAAAGTGATAATTCAAATTTTTATTTAGGTTAAGATAGGAACTTCAAGAGTTTCTGAAACAAAGCTTGTGGACAAAATTACTAAAAGATAAATCCTAAATATGAAACTGAGACAAAGAGCTACTAAAGTAGTTAGTTACTACTTGGTGATAATTAAACTCTCTTTGGAGCTTCATGCTTCTGCTTCTTGATTTCCTTAGCCAATCTTCTTGCTTTCAAGAAACTCAATAAGACCCTTAAGCGTAACATCCGGATTCTTGCTCACCATAAGTTGCTCTGTAATCTCAGCTGGAGTTGCTTTCACCGCAAGTAACATCTTCTCAATAGGCTCAAACATGTCATGCTCTTCGATTCCAAGATACAATGCAGCGAGTTTCTTAAAAACAAAAGGCGTGCAATAATCCATGAGTATGTGAACATCCATTCTTCCTGGTCTCAGCAATGCCGGATCGAGTTTCTCCTTATGGTTCGTTGTGAATATTATGATCCGTTCCTCTACACAGCTTGACCATAATCCGTCTACAAAGTTTAGTAGACCAGACAAAGTTACCTGATCCAAAAAAGACAAGAATCAGAACACAAAAATCAGAGAATTATTAAGCCGAGATATATAAGGTATATATGATAGTTTTTAAAATGTACACTCTGTGGAAGTGGAACCTTAGGATTATTCTTCTTAGTCTGATTCTCGTCATCTTCTTTGTCCTCCTTTCTAGCATCTGCTCCACTACTGCAATCAAGATCTTCAATGAGAAGAATCGAGCGGTTTTCAGTCAAAGTAAGAATCTGTCTAAGCATTGCATCATCTTTAACACTCTGAAGTTGAAGATCATAGATACTATAATTCATGTGATTAGCAATTGCGGCAACAAGTGATGATTTTCCGGTTCCAGGCGGACCGTAAAGAAGATAACCACGTTTCCAAGCTCGCCCTACGGTTTTGAAGAAGTCTTTTCCATTGGAGAAAGCGTCTAGGTCACGGATCAATGTGTTCTTGAGCTCAGGTTCCATTGCTAAGGTTTCAAATGTCGTGTGATGTTGGAAGATTGCTGATTCCCATCTTTTATATTCTGGATTGTAATTGTAGATATTGAGATTGTCTCGTTGTGTTAATATCTTCACCGACGATTTCGCAATGTATGCGAAGTAATCTGACATTATCTTGTCTCTGAACTCCTTCCTACACGTCAAATGAAAGTACCTGAAATCCAAAATTAATATCAGAGAAAAGTACAAAAAAAGAGAGAGTCAGAAATACGAATTAACTACAAAATAAAGCATAGAAAACGTAAATAGACTAAGGTGAAAGATTTGAAGATAGAGTGTAAAAATCCTCAAATTTTAGGGTTACATGTTGAGAAAAGGTACCGTTTTTGTCTACTCATGTAAGAAGTATCGTCTTTTGCAGAGAAAAGAGTCCATTCAAGATGAATCCCTTCGAATTCATCGATGAGTTTGGCTTTAACCGGGATCCCGAATTTAGGTTTAGCCATCGGATTCTTGAGGTTGCTTGAACTGACGAGGAGACTTCCAGTGGAGATTCTTGAGAGAAGAGTTGGCAAGTAAACTTGAGCTGCACGGAAAGTCTGATTCGTTACGTAATCACACTGTTCCTCGATGATGAATGTGAAATTGGAGTTGAAATAAGCTGAGAAGTAGTCTGTGAACTTGGAGATGATAAAGTCACGGATTTGGACGGGAATGATCTGATGGAGAAGGGTTCGGAAGAGGATCGTGAAGGCGGAGAGAGATGTGTAAATCGAGAAAATCGCAGAGAGTGAAGGAGTTTTAGTGAAGAAACTAGAAGCCATTGTTATTAGTTTTCAGGTGAATAGAATTGTTCTGAATTGTCTTATTGACTTGATAGATTTTACATACCAGTAAATAGATATACATAAATATTCTCAAACTTATCTATGATATACGACAGAGTTATCTATACGAGATTCGCATATATCTCAAGACAAATAAATGTGTGCGTTTTTTAAGGAGGAGAATATTTGGGGAGCAAGGTTTCGAGTTACTATTTTAGATATTGAAGCTTAGAGAGTAAGTTCATTAGTGGGTTTGAAATTTCCTCTTTCGTGGGATTATTGAACTCTTGGTTAGGTTAATCTCTTGAATAAAACTGTTAAGTAGGCAATAAATTAAGAATGACTACTTCCTTGTCTAGCAAGCATAAACGTTAGTATACTGTATACACAGGATATAGTGAGCATTGTTTATTCAGAGTTGAGTCTTTGAGAAAAGGGCAGGCATCAACTTCAGAGAGATATCGCTATAGGGTTGGTCTTGTTTCATATCTATAAGTCCTCTAGACTTCAATACCTGTAATCCAAAAAACAACTCATCTCAGTTAGAGGCATGCAATGTAGAGAGTAGCGAGACTAAAAGAAAGGATCAATCACCACTCACCAGTGTCTCGTAGAACATTCGAGCAGCTATTTTCCTTGTCTTTCCTTCCAAGATCTTGTTCAAACTTAGATCTCCAGAAGCATGGCTTGAAGTGAGACTACTTGAACAACGTTCTTTAAGATACTGAGCCACGGTTCTGTAGATATTCAGTGAATGTTGCAAGTTAGTAGAGATATAGTAGGCTCTTAAAAGCTATATGAATGTGTGTTTTTGGAATCTTTATACCTTGTCCTCCCTGGCAAAGCATCAGAATATTGAGTAGCTGGTGATCTTACCTGGCTATTGCCACCGTCCTCAAGGAAATAAAGTTCCTGTATGGCATACAGCCAAATAGTATATCAATGTTAACAAGAAGCACCAAGAATGGTAGATACAAGTGAACAATGTGAGAACAAACCTCGTCCATCCTTTCAGAAATAGTTGGAAGCCCCGGGGTTTTTAGTCCAGGTGAGGAGGACTCAGGAATTGTCGAAGTTGAAGGCTCTGTTCTGTAAAATCCTGTCTCCAATGATTCAGGCTGAGTGGTGAAGTCGTTGGTTCTAAAAGGCGAAGATCTTAAAGGTGGTGATGGCATGTACTCAGGGATGTTTAGTCCAGGTAGATTCTCTGGATTTGTGGAAGTTGAAGTCTCTGTTCTGAAAGATTCTGTCTCCCAAGTGTTAGGCTGAGTGGTGAAGTCATTGGTTCTAAAAGGTGAGGATCGTGGAGGTGGTGACGGCATGTAATCATGGAAACCACCATCCCTGAAATGTTCGATTTCTATGTCGTCATTGTTAGATGGCTGAGGAGATTGTGCTTCTGCTGCTACAGACTCTGCACGCGCGGATTGAGGACCTGCAACGCCTTGGACATCTTCAGTTTCCTGTTGTGGAGGCCGCTGAACTGTACTGTCTCGATTAGTAGAATCAGGAACTGGAGAGGCCGGGTTAATTTCTGTTTCAGCTTCTCGAGTTGGAGATGATGCAGGTTCTGGAATAGTTTCATCAGGAACAGCAAGATATGGTTTTGAAGCTACATAGTCCTTTTCAAAGACACTGCGTAAAACATTTGAGAAGCCTGCAGATAAACATATAGACAGTCAATACTCATTCTTCAAAAAAAACAAAAGGCAAAAGAAAGAGTCAGTGGAAAGTTACCAGTAAACAAGGGCTCATTGAAAAGTTGATCCTTCTTTGACTGGTTATCAAGTCTCCAAAAACCTAGTTTAGATGAAGGCAACTTCTTTCTCTTACGAACAGTCTTACTAGGATCCTCAAGCCTTTTTCTCAGGATCCTGTAAATTCTTTGATCAGTATACAACAGGTAATGAAATAATCAAAGCCATAGAAACGTTATTTACTTGTGACTTAATAAGACATAGGTCTTATCATAGTGCTTCCTCTTTCTTGGCCTTGTTTGTGGTGTGGGAGGAGGAGTACTTGGCTGCAGAACCAGTTCAGGTGATGGATGCACTTAACATCAAAACAAAACCAAAATATTTTAAGTATATAATAAGATAGTGCATATAGTTAGCATAACATTATCAAACTATGTTATGTTTACTCACCAAAATCTGCACGTTCTTCCTCAGAACCAGCAAAACTTGGAGATCTTAAGCGAAACTCAAACATGGAATGCCCTCTAGAATTTAACACTTCTTCATCAATATTATGAATAGTGGCTTCCTTATCATTCAAACTTTCATGTAAGGATCCAACTCTGACATTCTGTTGTTGTGCAGCAAATGGTGAATGAGACGCAGGGCTTAAATCGCGTGCAGCATCACGCCTTTTCTCAATCTCGATATCCATCGGGATAGATTCTGGAATGATATCCTGTAAGAAAGACATACAAAAGCTTTCCTTCAATAACATGTTCTTGCAGACATGAAAAACCAGTAAGTGAGAATCAACTTCGCAAGCAAGAATCTCACCTCGTCGTCGAATGTTATAGTAACATAAGGATCAATGCCTGTAGGAATTTGATCTGCAAAATATACATCAGCATCATGAACACAATATACAGCAAAATAAATAAAGAGGTAAAAAAAGTACCAGAGAGAGTGATATCTTCCTCACTCCCGATATGAGTTTCGAATTCCCTAAGATTCACATAGAAAAAAGATCATGTTAAGATCTCTCAAGCTTTATAACAACAAATCAAAACTCCAAATAAAAAGTGAAAAAGTGGATACATGTAAAGTGTATCGTCATCCTCCAAGTCGAGCTCGTCCAAATTTAGTGTTTGAGGCAAAGTTATTAAATGAAACTGTGCCTGTCTCAAATCCTCTGGTTTAGCTACCAAACTTCTAAGGAGATTATAATCATGAGAAAGATAATCGAGTTTCTTTGAATATATTCGTACAACTCCAATTAGAATGTGACCTGACATTCTTATGGACATTGGTACCTCATGTAACAGTATATGATCTGCAAACACAATTACATTTGAAAAGTCAAAACTTTAACAAAGCAGAGCAAATACTCAAGCACAATGATGAGGATTAAAACAATTTAGTGAATGCCCATTTCAAAAACAAACATAACTGAGCAGAAAAAACTGTTAAATTTTTTGACTTTTCGAATCGGTTACAATCAAAGGGGATAAAAATGCAAACTTTGATCACTAAAGGAAAACCGAAGAAGAAAGAGACGAACGAACCAACTGTTTTGGGGATGTTTGTGGCAATGTATTGACTCTTCTCGAGGAGATTTTGCACGTGAGCGGCACACCACGCCGTCTTCACTGATTTCTTTAGAAGAAAAGACTTATTATGCGGATTAAACATTTTTACTACACAATTTAGGTCTCTCTTAGGAACCAGAGATGAATTGAGAGAGAAACGAATCAATATCGGATACAGGGACGAAGACAGAGGTTAGGGTTTTATGTGATTTTAGAGAGCAAGAAACAGATTTTAATGGCGCGGGAAAATATTCGGTGGCGCTAAATCATAGCCAAAGGAAAAAAATTACCATTTGACTAAAATGCCCGTTCCTACTCTTCTCTAATTGACGATATTAGGGGTATACTCGTAATTATTCAAATATTTGGTTTTTTAGAATTTTTAAAATTAGTAAATATCATTTATGGTGAGATACTCAAATCTTTGAATCTTAATTATATTACATTGATGAAGAGATACTTAATCCATTGGAGCAAATTCCTCAAAATCCTAGCCATCTTTAAAATAAGGACTCTCTCGTCTCTACTATAACATGATATAAAAATAATATGTTTTGCTAATAAGCCAAACCAATTTAAACCGACCGAATGTCATTTTCTTTTGTACTAATTTGGATTCGATTTTTATAAACCAATTTAATAACCAAAACTTTGAAACAACGTCGGATTGGAAAAGAGTTTTTTTTTTTTTGTTCTTTTTCTTTTTTGGGGTTTTTAAATTAACAATTTGCTCTAATTTGATTTGATAAAAAAGAAAAGTGAGCACGTAGTTGTCATTTGCCATTTTTCTTGTAAATTCACCTCTTTCCTTAGTCTATCTATCCTCCCTTCCCCAACATTGTAAGAACACCAAATCTCTCTCTGACTCTCTCAATTCCAATCTTTGTATGTGTTCTTGTTTCATATTAAAATCATCCAATCCCTAGAAATGTTAAAGGTCAAATTTTTAATTTATTATTTCGGTTTTTGTTTTTCTCTCCTTAACCTCTGAATCTCCGGTGTCGGAATCCGAACACATAAGGATGATCTACATTGGCTTTTTATTTTTGATATTTTTTCCTAGAGATTCTTCTCGTGATTAACCTTTTTTTTTTTTTGGTTTTGAAATTCACAACAATTTGATGTCCTAAAGAAATATTGGAACTTTCTTATTTTGGGTTCATTTCCAACAATTTGTGCGTGATGGGTTGTTCTCAATGTAGGATTTTGTTTGATGATTGTTGGGTTTTGAAAGAAGAGCAATGAGCAATTATGCAGCCGGACTCGGTAAGCCTGGCTCAGGTATGACTCATTCTTTCATTCATTTGTGGATTTCATGATTGTGTGTGTGTGCGTGGTGAATTCTATAGATTTAGAGAAATTTCTTGACTTTTTCATGTTTTGTTGTTATCATGGCGTCACAAAATGTTTTTTCAATACACATTGTGTTTTAACAGGTAAAAGGAGAATCAGAGATCTTTTAAATCAACCTGATAACCGAGTCTGCGCTGATTGTGGCGCTTCTGATCCTAAATGGGCGTAAGTTATCGCTGCTAAGTCTCTCGATTTGTTAACTTATTGTAGTTTGCTAATAAACAACTTGTCGTATAACTTTGAAATCTTAAAACGATTCTAGTATAGCTACTCTTATGCTAATTCAATGTGTTTGGCTCTGTATGTTCTCTGTTCATTTAGGGGAAAATCTACAATGTCAAAAGTCTGATACATTTGAAAATCTCACATTTCTTTACCATAACCGAAAGTTACTTATTCACATTAAAGCTCCATCTACATGTTCTTGTGTCTTTAGTTATGTATCTTTGTGTTTGTTTCTTGTGTTGAATAATCAGTTAGTAGCTTGTTTTCAGATCAGCAAATATCGGGGTATTCATTTGCTTAAAATGTTGCGGTGTGCACAGAAGCCTCGGCACTCATATCTCAAAGGTTGCTTTATTACATTTTGGTTTCCATTTGTTGTCTATATTCTTCATTACTCAAACGAAATCATCTCTTTCATTGTGTACTCATAGTTTAATTTCTCCAGGTTTTGTCTGTGACACTTGATGAATGGTCAGATGAGGAAGTCGATTCCATGATTGAAATTGGAGGAAATGCGTCTGCTAATTCAATTTACGAAGCTTTTGTACCTGACACATGCTCTAAGCCTGGACCTGATGTTAGTCATGACCAGCGTATGAGATTCATTAGGTAAGATTCAAAAACAAAAAAACTTTGTGACAAGATAAATCAATTGTTGTTGTATAGTGAGTTACTCAAATCCTTGAATCTTTATTTAGGGCAAAATATGAACTGCAAGAGTTTCTGAAGCCAAGCTTGCGGATTACATCCGGGAAATGCTCAACAAAGAGTTCAGCTTTTCTTACATCAAGTCTTTCTAGAAAGATCATGGATAGTTTTCGCACAAATTCATCATCACAGAAGATAGTAAAGCTTCTAACTTGCAAAGTTAACGTTTTTTTATACCTTCTTCTTGCATGTTTTGAAATCGGTAAATTTGACAGTTTCAGGAAGGAATGGTAGAGTTTATTGGATTGTTGAAGGTGACTATTAAGAAAGGTACTAACTTAGCAATCAGAGACATGATGTCAAGTGATCCATATGTTGTGTTGAATCTAGGGAAGCAAGTAAGTGATTTGCTTTGCATCTGTTTATTAGCTTCACATCTTATTGGTTTGTGAATCTTGAGTAAACTTGTTCTTGTTTCTTCAGAAACTTCAGACAACTGTTGTGAATAGTAATTTGAACCCGGTATGGAATCAAGAACTCATGCTGTCTGTTCCTGAGAGCTATGGCCCTGTGAAATTGGTAAAAGCAGATTGATTTTCTACTGATGATTTCGGTCATTGGCAAAGCTTATATATATCTTACGGTTTCTTATGTGATTGCAGCAAGTGTATGATTATGATACATTTTCTGCTGATGACATAATGGGGGAAGCAGAGATTGATATCCAACCTTTGATAACATCTGCAATGGCTTTTGGGGATCCAGAAATGTTTGGGGATATGCAGATTGGGAAATGGCTAAAATCGCATGATAATCCACTAATAGATGACAGTATCATTAACATTGTTGATGGGAAAGTGAAACAGGAGGTTCAGATCAAGCTTCAGAATGTAGAGTCTGGAGAATTAGAGCTAGAAATGGAATGGCTACCACTTGACCAATAAGTGTCAAATAGGGTCTCATAACCTCTATAATGTATTTTGACTGATTCATTCTTTGCTTTTTTTTTTTACTGAATCTTCACTGGGTGGAAATTTTCACAACTCTTTTTTGCATTTTTATCCTCATCCCAGAGGAAAATGTATGTTGATGTTTGTATAACCCAATGGATTACTATGATGTTTTTGATTGATGGAAAAAGGAGAAATATCCATCTTATGTACATACACTTTCACTTGTGATCATCAACTAAAATCAGAGTCTTTCCTTCAAAGTTTCAAACTTCCCACAACAGAAACTTCATCTTCTTCATTAAACCATGAGGCTCATTCATCATCGACAGACTCAGCATCTTGCAGTTTCCTCTCAGACATCAAGTGTCCCCTGAAAAGAATTTAAATTGCTATAAACCTATCTTCTAAATACAGGCATTTATTTTTAATGTTCATTCTCTCTTAACAACATACCCACAAGAAGATATACCATATAAGCTGTAACTAATGTAAAGACTTTCGCTACATCTACCAGAGGCCAACACTTGCCATCAACAACTAATGTAAAGATGAGAAAAGGCATTGTAGGTAAAATGCTTTGGAAGGAAGAATCTTCATCTCCATCATAAACCCAAGAAGCTCACTCATCATCGATAGCATCTATCCTCTCAGACATATCATGTAATGTCCCCTGTTTTTGCTGGGACATGGCTTTTAAATTGCTATGAACCTTTTTTCTAAAGCGTGGAACACTTCATAGGAATTTTTAGTGTTTTTGTTCTCTGTTTTACGTACCCACACCCTCAAGAAGATAAACGAGTTAAGTTTGTCTACAGTCAGCACGGAAACAGAGTCGAGCCACATTTCAGGCCTTATTAAACAAAACAAGCACAGATCATGTAAAACACCCATCGATGATAAAAAGACGAGTAGGAAGAAGTTCGATTTGTCATTAGAAAGAAAGGGATAACAGGAACGGAAACAGAGTTCATCAATTATTTATCAGGAGCTTTACAAGGCCCCAAAACACAAACCACCAAATTTTTTAAAAGAAACGAGACATGAACTTCTTTAACCATAACAGAGACGAGATTTAGAAACCACCACGGAGACGGAGCACCAAGTGAAGAGTAGACTCCTTTTGGATATTGTAGTCAGCCAAGGTGCGACCATCCTCAAGCTGTTTTCCAGCGAAGATGAGACGCTGCTGGTCCGGAGGGATACCTTCCTTGTCCTGGATCTTGGCCTTCACGTTGTCAATGGTGTCAGAGCTCTCTACCTCGAGGGTAATGGTCTTCCCGGTCAGAGTCTTCACGAAAATCTGCATACCACCACGAAGCCTTAGCACCAAGTGAAGAGTAGACTCCTTCTGGATGTTGTAGTCCGCCAAAGTACGCCCATCCTCAAGCTGTTTTCCAGCGAAGATGAGACGCTGCTGGTCCGGAGGAATGCCTTCCTTGTCCTGGATCTTGGCCTTCACGTTGTCAATGGTGTCAGAGCTCTCGACTTCAAGAGTGATCGTCTTGCCAGTCAAAGTCTTGACGAAGATCTGCATACCTCCACGGAGACGCAACACCAAGTGAAGGGTCGACTCCTTCTGGATGTTGTAATCCGCCAAGGTACGACCATCCTCCAACTGTTTTCCGGCGAAGATCAACCTCTGCTGGTCCGGAGGGATACCTTCCTTATCCTGGATCTTGGCCTTCACGTTGTCAATAGTGTCTGAACTCTCCACCTCCAAGGTGATGGTCTTTCCGGTGAGAGTCTTCACAAAAATCTGCATACCTCCACGCAGACGTAACACCAAATGAAGGGTAGACTCCTTCTGAATGTTGTAGTCAGCCAAAGTTCTGCCGTCTTCAAGTTGCTTTCCGGCGAAGATCAACCTCTGCTGGTCCGGAGGAATACCCTCTTTGTCCTGGATCTTGGCTTTGACATTGTCGATGGTGTCAGAGCTCTCCACCTCCAAAGTGATAGTCTTTCCAGTCAACGTCTTGACGAAGATTTGCATACCACCACGGAGCCTGAGAACAAGATGAAGGGTCGACTCCTTCTGGATGTTGTAGTCAGCAAGGGTTCTGCCATCCTCCAACTGCTTTCCGGCGAAGATCAACCTCTGCTGATCCGGAGGAATACCCTCCTTATCTTGGATCTTGGCCTTCACGTTGTCGATGGTGTCAGAACTCTCCACTTCAAGAGTAATAGTTTTTCCCGTTAGGGTCTTGACGAAAATCTGCATACCACCACGGAGCCTGAGAACCAAGTGGAGGGTGGATTCCTTCTGGATATTGTAATCAGCCAACGTGCGGCCATCTTCTAGCTGTTTTCCGGCGAAAATAAGCCTTTGCTGATCCGGAGGAATGCCTTCCTTGTCCTGGATCTTGGCCTTAACGTTGTCGATGGTGTCAGAGCTTTCCACCTCGAGGGTGATAGTCTTTCCGGTGAGTGTCTTAACAAAGATCTGCATCTGTAATTTCAGAAAAACCGAAATTAGTTGACAAATTCGATCGCACAAAACCAGATTTGGATAGATCTAAGAGATAAAACTCAGATTCTTAGAACAAATCAGATCAAATTCAAAGAATCAACGCGTAAAAACACAGATCAACGAAAACAACGAACCCTAATCAAGAATTAAGATGAGATCTAACGAAGAAACTCAGAACTTTGTCTCTGATCAAAGATTAACCGAATGAAATTCAAAGAACAGAAACTCAATCACGATCGAACGAAACAATACGAATCGAACGAAACAATACGAAGAAACTGAAAAGGAACCCAGAAATCTACCTTGATCACGGTTGAGAGATTTGAGAGAATGATTTTAGATTGTTTGAGAAATTTGGAATCTGAATTGTGAAGAAGATGAGGTCTTTGGGTATTCATTTATATACAAGAGAAGACGAAGACGACGTCGGTCACGAGAAAGCTGAAGAAATAGCGACACGTGTGTATAATGACGTGTATTGACGCAACGTTTGTTTGGGTAATTGGCTAATTAATTGCTTTATTTTTAGGTTAGGAAAAGTATTTTGTGCTTTGAGTTGATAAACACGATTTCTGTGCCGGCGGCAACCACTTTAACGCCGTTTATTTATTAACTTCGACAACCACAATTTCTAACGCCGTTATCATAGCCAGACGTTTTTTTTTTTTTAATCAACGGTGGAGCCCATAATTGAACATTGGGTCCCATTTCTCAAAACAACAAAATGCGCTGCTTCATTACCAAACACGATGATCTCCTCTGCAAATAATTTTGGGATTACTGATCATAAATACAATCTTCTATCTCCTCACACAACACATTTTGACTGGGCACAAACAAAAAACACATACACAGTTACACACACACACACACTTTTTGGTCTTGGTGGTCTTTTATTTTCAAGCCGCGTCTACTCCTCCTTGTTGCTGTGCAAGATATCTCTCTCGTCGTTGCTTCTGGTAATTAGTACAGAAGATAAACACATTAAACATCAGTATCACACTTTCTTTGTTGTCTTATAAAACAAAACAATACAAAAAGAAGACGAGTGAGTAAGGCATGAAAAGAATGGCATTGCATGATGCTCACCCATTCATCGATCACAAGCCCTTCTCCAATTGGCTTTGGACCAACAATACCCTCTGATGCTTTCTTCCGTGCTTCATCTGCAGCATCCGCTTCAGCCAATTGACTCTTCAATTTCTCCATCATCTGTAGACAGAGAGGTAACAAGTTTAAAGATCAGTGATACTTAGAATTGTTTAAGCAGAAAAATGATCCCAGTTAAGTTCACAAATGATGGCGATAAGAACCAGAAAGAGAAGAAGAAGAATAAAGACTCACGGAGTTAGGGTTTTCGGGATCCAAGAATACCACACGCATTACTTGCTCCTCAGAGACATGATCTTTTTGCTCCTCAAACTGCAAAACACAAGAGCATCCACAATTCTTAGAATCCAAGAACAAAAGTCTTATATTATCTTATCTTCTCTTTTCTTTTCTGACCAGTAGTTTCTACAAGTTTCACATACCAGCTCAGGCATATAGTCTGTTGGGACTTTCATCTTCAGGCTCATGATTTTAAACTTAACCCCGCTCTTTTGTTCCATCGGCTTTTCATTATTCTCAGGAGGCTCAACAAACTTAAAAACTAAAAGATTCAACAAGACATAGAAACAAACAGTCACCACATAATCCTCGAGGCCAATGCTCAAAATACCCTAATCAAACAGTACAAAGAAGCAAATATACAAGAGAAGCAAATACCGGTTGCGATAATTTCTTCCCCAGGAGAAAGAATAGCACCAGCCGGGCGCATGAAGCAACTCTTTGGTTCTGTTGTTTGAAACTGAATAAACCGAGATAATCAGCAGAGATGACAACAACCATAATCAAAAAGCTTTTTGAATCCATAACAAACCTTAAACGCTACATGTGACTTGCTCGTATTCTTAATCTTAATGGCACTCCTGACTTGCTTCCCAGGCTCATCTGCAAACAAACTAATTCATTACAATCTCATCCCAATAAAGACTGAACCTTCAAATTGACAACACTCAACAAATTTTGGTCCACATTTTATTCCAAAGAAAACATTAGTCCTAAAGTTTGCCCAATGGCTTATACAGTTTATAGTAACGTAACAATTCCTACAAGTCAACATCACCATCTTCAGTACCCAATTTCAATTTTATCAAATTTCGAAACTTTTTGGATCATAGTGTGATATTGACTCACAAGGGAAGTAAAGTTTTGCTGAAGGATCAAGCTTTAATCGGCGTTTTGTTGGAAGAAGTGATCTCGCGACAGATGACATAGAAGGGATCGTGGCGGTGGATTGATGATGGTTTTGACCCAATCCTTCGACGACAGGAGGTCCGTGATATTGGAAATGGCGAGATTGATGAATGTAATTTTGATTGAGATGAGAAGATGTTGCAGAAGAAGAAGAAGAAGAAGTAGCCATGGAAGAGGCGGAGGAGGATGAGGTAGCTTGAGCGTTGGAGTTTCGAAAGGGGAGCTTGAATTTGCCCCGACGGCGACCATCGGAACCGGATTTTTCCTCCGTTAATGCCATCGGAGAATCGGATGTGAGGGGAAGGATTAAAGTGGATTTGATTGTGCTGGTTTCAAGTCCGGGTTGGTGTTTTTCGATTAAGCGGAAGTCATCAGAAGTGGAGAAGAAGAGGTAAAACGCAGATAGGAATAGCGTTTAACACGATGGCGTTTTGGATTCGCTTTAGGGTTTGACTGGTTTAAACGCAGCGGTTACGGTTGCGGTTGTGGGAGTTTGCGGAAGCAGGCGATTGCGGTTTCAAGCGTTATTTAGCGTTTTGACCGATTGGTTAAACGGTTGTAAACGGGTGCGTTTACGGGAGATTTACGACTCGTTGATCAGCGGATACGATAGCGGTTAAACCAAAATTTACCAAAATAAATTTAATATATGATTATAAAAAAGTATAAAACACCAAAAACTATAATTATGAAAAAGTATAAATTTTTTAAATATGATTAATGATTAAAAACCTTAAATAATTATTCAAATAAATTTTATATTTAAAACAAAAAATAATTATTAATATTATAAAATTAAAATTAAATAATTATTTTTTTTAGAATTAACGTGAATATATATGACTTGATAATATATATTTATTATTTTTTTTTAAACCAACCGCAACCGCCCGCAACCGCAAACGCTTGCGGGAAAGAGCTTTTTTGATATCCAGCGATTTCGAGAGGTTCGAAGCGGTGTGGAACGATTTCTGTGATTGGATCAACCGCTAACAACCGTAACCGACCGCTAACAGCCGCTAGGCGGGTGCTAGCAGGAGAACCAATCAAGCCCTTAAACTACTTTTTGGTTGTTATAGTGATTACGTTCTGGAAAAAAATTAGCAGTAAAAAATAATTAAATAACTAAAACTTAATAAACAAAACAAAAAACTTACAATCTTCATTTTTTGTTTTCCCGCTGTAAATTTTTGCTCTTTGATAATAATCATTCAAATATATATCTTTTTAACACAAATAATTTTACCATTTTAACGTTATAGTCAAAACTATAATATCTCACATGTTACAAAATATAATGCGGGACAACACGAACACTTCGTGCCGATAAATCCACTTTAAAATTAACTTTACAAAAACTAGAGAGAGAAAATGATGAAAAAACTTTCGTATTTTTTGTTATTATTCTAGACATATTTCAAAATTGAACATTCTATCAGCATAGACATTAGAGTGAATTTGGGCAGAAGTAAAAATGGGAACACAAATTAGGGGAAGGGTATTATCAGAAGCTGTCGGCAAAGAGGTATTATCAAAAGTTAGAAAAGGGTCACTTTTAGAAGTTATTTACAAAATAACCAGGAAGCGTAAAACGTATGCGCGTGTGTTTGGCTTCTGACATAAAAGTACAATTGAAATGACATATATTAAATGCTTGCCAAGTAACTGACCCTCACGCGCCCCACATGCGCATGTCCAACATAAGAGCTGCTTAGACATACACATTTTAATATAGACGTCTACATATCTAACAAGAGGAGTAAAACTCATTGAATATGTAGTTGTACATAACTAGATATACATGTATTTATAAATATAGCTATCTATAGCTAATGAATGACCATTTATATCGCGTGAAAAGTTAAAACGTAGAGCCAGAAAAGGTTAGAAGGTATAACCAACAGATTGAAAGAAAAATACAGATACTACTAGTTCAGAAGATGAAAGACTGGTAGAACAACAGTTCAAAATAAAAAAGAAGGATAGAGGAATAATCCAAAAGAAAACATAGGTAGATTATAATAAAATACACAACCCTCATTGGGTTTCTAATGAAAGTCAACGGGTGCAGCGGAAAATTGTCCTTCGAATATTGACCCAAACCTCTAATACAACCAATAAACATCTAACGGCTGAACTTGGCACCTTCTTCAAGGCGCTTTAACAATACTTGAACACTGGGGTCACTTACCTCATCAACCCAACCGCAATCTTCCACCCCAGTGACAACATCAGCCGAAGGTATGATAGACAGAACATCGACCTATAAAAGCGGTTGATAGACGTTAAAAAGGGATATAGCCGTATATCTAAACAAATAACGCATGACAAAAACTGAATGGACATTTATATAAACACGTAGAGGTCTAATATACCTGAGCTTCTCTATCCAATTCCCACACTTTATCTAATTTCAAAGAAATTACAGGGAACATATGTTCATCGTCGGATTCTGGTTCGGTTCTATCACAACCTACTGAAAGGATGGCCGGCATAGCCTCCACAAATACAAGGACCAAAGCGTGTATAAAACCTTGGATGGCAACAGTGGCCTAAGCCAATTGAAGTAAAGATCTAGACTTAATGCATTGCAGCGTCATATCAAAACTGTACCGACCCCAAGGATATTTCAAAAACACATCCAAATCCCGAATCATCTCAACATGCTCCCTCGGAATCATCATTGTGGGCCAACTTCTCGGAGAACACCGGCTTTCAGTAAAGATCCATGATTTTCTCAAAGCTAGGTCGAATGGTTTCGATCTTCTTGGGAGCCAGGGCCTTTAGAACGGCTTTGATGATATTAAGCTTAAAGTACATGTTAACAAGATCACCGGCAGGTTCTTCTCAGTCCGCAAAAGCCTAGAAGAAAGGTCAATATCTGCCATTTTCCTGCAAAACAGAGGAGCCAATTTATTAGAAATATAGATCAATAAACGGATGATGATGACATGCAATTTATGTATGAAGCTCCAAATAAAATTATGGGTGTCTAACAGTGGATCTACGTCAAAGAGGTGAAGATACATGCAGATCTAAGGATGTGTATAAGGACATTTGAGGACGAAAGCCTAAATTAGAAATAAAATCGTAATGGCGAAAAAAAGAAAGCAGAGGTTAAAACAGAGAGATCTAAACGAATTAAGGAAAAATCAATTGGTTTTGAGAGAGAATGAAAGTGATAATTCGCCTCTTCGGATTCGGATCTATGGGATACCCAGTTACTTGTGATATGAGGCGACGCCGATTAGCAATCTCACCGGAGCAAACTCAGTCCTCGAAACAAAGGAAGAAGACGACGAGACTTAAAGTTTCGAGAGAGAGAAAGGATGGATGAGAGAAAATGAATGAAGAGATAAAGAGATATCTTCTTATTTTGTTCAATGTAATGAGTTATAAATTGGGCTGTTTGACTTTTGCGCGTGAGGGTAGAAGCGGTAGAAACATGGGCTGAAATTTTTAATGTCTTGGGCCGATGAGCATAATGTCGAAAATTTAATTAAGTCTGGATTCGTTACTTCTCACCCAATTATCTCTAGACATTATCTTCACCAGATTAAAACAATGTGTGAGAAAATAAAATCTATCTTATTTTCTACAATCAGGCTTCTCATCGCCACATTAATAATGGAATGGTGAAAGACTTCGACAATTTTGATGCCACATCAATAATGAAGTTACATGCTCCATAAGTAATGCCACATTATTAATTTATTAGCTTTTGAACTACCATCCTAAACCCAAAAAACAACACTTTATGTGTCAAGATATATTGTCATTAAGCTCTAATTTTATGAAGAACAACACTTTATAGGTCAAAGCTAATAATAAATTGAAAAGAAAAAAAAAATAGTTAGTTTTGGGCCAAAGCCCATTACAAACCAGCACAAATAATCCGAAACAGTAGTTTGCCGTTAATAAAAACAGAGTGGAAGAGCAAAGGACAGAGGAGACAAATCACGCCATAGATCGGAGCAAGATTCTTGGATCTGCCTCTTAAGACCAATCGGTGCTTTCGCGTGTCCTCAGGTATGTGTCGATCGGACCTAGCTACAATGATTAATAATCCTCAATTGCTTCCGTTTTAATCGTATCTGATTTGGAATTGAGAATCGATTTTTTTTGAAAATTCGCAGTGACTGTATAAACTTTAATCCCAGAGACAAAATCGAGTGGTGTAAAAATGGAGGATAGAGAGAATGCGAAGAGAGAGTGTTTGTAACTGTAGGAACAACGAGTTTCGATGCGCTTGTGAAAGCAGTGGTTAGTGAAGATGTTAAAGACGAATTGCAGAAAAGAGGATTTACTCATCTTCTCATTCAAATGGGTCGAGGAAACTTTTTCCCAACTAAGGTTCTTAATCATCTTCTTAAACTCATTTCTTTATTTGATTGCTTTTGATTTGGATGTGATTATGAAAATTGGGTTTAACTCTATATTTGTTGTTGTTGTTGAATTGTACTCTTCTCTTGTTGAATTTTGTATTGAATCAGATTCCTTTGAATATCGTGCCTCTATGAAGCTTCTCATTTGTGTTTTTTTTCTTCTTCTTAATGATCCCAGTGTGATGGAGCAGATGGATCATTAGTTGTGGATTACTTCACATTTTCCTCGAGTATCGCTGATTATATTCGGTTTGCATCTCTTGCTATTAGTCTCCTCGTGCTAGCTCA